CTAGCACAGCCAAAGCTTCACCTTTTTATATTCTTACTTGCAATGAAAGGAGTTTCATCATATGATGCTAATATTTTGCAAAAGTAGTAGACTAAATTTGAGATTGATTATTGACTTGTCTGCTGAGTGGAAATGTGTGTAAGACTTGCTCATTAACTTTTCTTTTTACAGTAGCTCTAAATTTTAATTACTAGGTTCCATAAACTTGCCTGACCCAAACGCATGCTTCAAATCTGTCTGTTCCTTGCTTCAACTTGAGTCTTTTTCATTCATCTTTATATATCTGACCCCTAGGAAGTGTAGAAATGAAGGCTTTCCCTCCAAATAGAGATAGGCAGTCAGTGCCTCCCCCAAATCAATCCCTCCCCCCATTCTGAAAAACAAAAACTGTCTTGACAGTTTTTTGCAAATGGAGTCTTGGATCATGTGTGGATCAACAAGTGAAAGCAATTGTGAACTCACTCTGGCCAGATGTAAATCCACTGTAATTACCATGATCCCAAAGTAGTGAGTATTTTTCCTTTCTTTTTTTGGCAGCTACAAGTATGCACCCAGAGTCAGTTCCAGAAGGTCAACTGTTTTTACACTCTCTCAGTAAGCTGTAGTTGCTTAACTCTTTGCAAGTTTTACATCCCTATTCTGATTCAATCTTAACAGGGAGATGAAATACTCTCTTGTGTAATGGATAATCAGTTGGCTACTGGACATTTAGTGATGCACATCTAATCATGGTATCTTTTAAAAAAAAATTGTTGGCTTGCTTTCTTATTTGAAACTATAAAAAGTATTTCAGGTAACCAGGATTTTACATGAATGTACATAAAATAAGTTTTGGACTTGGTAACATAATTTGTGATCTGTGAGGTCTCTCATCAGACAAGCTGGATGGGAAAGTAGTTAAAGCTGCTGCTTTTATTTTTCACTGTTTGCATCCAGGCTTCCTCTGCAAGATATTGTAATGGCTAGAAATTAGAGGGAGCCCTGAAGACACACTGTAAAACTATTAATAGATGTTCACCCACATAGCAATGACCCGGGTCACCAAAGCTCTTTATAATGTGATATTTTCAAACAGCTTTTCAGAGCTATTATGGCTGCATCAATTTTACTAGTGAAATGAAATACAATAAATTATAAACAAGTATTACTCTTATGTTGAACATATTTAAATTACATTGTAGCTCTTGAAAACAATGTTTTTCAAGGATGGGCTTGCAAATTCCATGGCTATTCATAGGAGTACTTTAGATGTGCTACTTGTTTGTAACACAGTTAACCTAGTTAGATTTTTGAATTCTATACGGTTAGAGACCAAGCTATTCTGACTCTACATGTTGAAAATTCTACCCTCCCCCCTCTCCCCCCCCTCGCCTTCTTGCTGTTAATTGAAAGAAAATAGGAAGTGTTTAGGATGTGTCAGTGAGTTTAGGAGTGACAACTTTCATTTTCACCTAATAGGAATTTAGTATGCCATTAGGTTACAACTCAGTCTTTTTGGTTAGAAGCATCAGTGTTCTTAACCAGATCTGTTCTAAATACACATTTGGCTGAATGTAAGTGTGGCAGAAAACCAAGCCTTTTAAAGAAATTTGTTAGACCTAATTATGCCCAAGTTAACAACCTAAGAAAAACAAGATGATGTGACATTACTGCATGATGGAATTATGATGTGGTGTCTGTAGTAGTGGGAATTCAAACTGTCCCAAGTTCCTGCCAGGCCTGTGTGCTGATACAGAATGAGAACTAGGAACGACAGTGTTGTTAGCTGACGATTTCTGTTTTCTAGAGATGTTTTTGAGAACTAGATTTTGAGGTTTTAATAGGTAGTGCTTTTCTGCAAAGCTTCATTGTAGTGATGGTATTATATAGAATGATCTTTTTTAAGATTTATTTAATTTCTTCAGGCTTGTACTGATGCATGAGAGAAAAACGGTGGAAACCCCTGCAATTTCTGTCCTTATTTCCCCCTTCTTCCCCTTTAGGCCATTGCTGTATGCAAAACAAAAAATAACATGAAGTTTTTTGTTTGTTTGTTTTTTAACTAAGTTATCCACTAAGTTGTCCACATTGTGGGCAATTGTGCGAAGCAGCATTTGCAATCCATAAACAGAAAAGCTTTTCTTAGTTAATGTTACTTTCTTAATATTTCTGATTTAGTTTAGCTGCCCTACACAGGCAACTGTGGATTTTTTTCCCGTTGGAGTTATATTGCTTCATCATCTGCTATATAAAACACACTTAATCTCATAATAGTTAATATTTTAAAAAGACCTTGTTACCACTCTAACAGCTAGAGGCTCTGGTGATGAATAAACCATCTACTGGGAGATTGAAAGGAAGAGGGAACAATGAAAATACTTCTTTAGTAAAAGACAGTGGTTTGAAGAATGCAAACACTGATAGCAATAGCTGTTGGTAAATTCTCTCATGGTGATAAGAGGTTTAAACTTATGTGTCACTTCTGTAATTCTGTTCCTAGTATTCCTTTCATTACCTTTTCTTTACCAAGGTCCATTCTTTTTTCCCCCCTTTCATGATATACATCACTTTTTCCTCTCTCTTTGCAATGGTCTTCCGTTATAGCGTGTCTGACTCTCTGCTCTTTTGAGCAGAGAATCCAAAATCCCACTGCTTCTGCTGAAGTATCACATCTATAAGAATGATGCATAAACTCTACTCCAGTTCATCTTTTCAGGCAGCAAGAAGGGTATGTGTTTAGGAGTCTGTGGTTCTTCCTGAAACATTAATCAGGATACTCAAGTCTCTCCAAATGGTAGTGGTCCTTGTGTGGACCAATTATTTCCTGAGAGTAATTGAGTATAGCTGCTCCTTTGTAGTTGTTTTCATTTCCAGTGAAGTAAAAAGATTATTTTCACTACTGAAGGAGCAGAGCACGGTGTTCTGGACCCAGCTAATCTCCTGTCCTTTGCTGCATACCTTGTGTTAGTTGTTGAGGCTGTAGAGTGGCACAAGACATCTAAAAGAGGGCTGTAGCATGATCTAGTGTTTTCTTTAAATGTAAATCACATAAAGTTCAACAAATCCAGCACATACTGAATGTGAAAGCCTTCACTGTAATCTGATAGCAAATGTTTATTTTGTGCATTTGGGTGGGTCTTTTTAAAGTATACACTCTACTTAAGTGCTATTAAAGTTTAAAAAAAAAGATTGGTGTACTTATTTTTAAAAAAAGTTAGTTTTCATATGGAATAGGAGTTACGCACTCCTTAGTCATGTCCTACTTTTTAAGGACTAATTTAGATATTAATGAAAGTGAAACAAAACCCCTTGGTTAGCAGCAGTGTAAGTGAAATACAAATACAGTGTAAATTATGTTCATTAGCAGTAATAGAAGTTGCATCTAAGAGCAGAGAAAAATGATTCATTTCTCAACTGGTGGTGAAACTGTTTTACCTGATTGCATATCAGTGGGACAAGATGAGGATGTTATGAGTGTATGGGCTTTAAGTGGAGCAAAGCTGCCGATAAAGATACACTGAAGGAGTCTGCCTCTAGAACCTGCTTGTTCACCCTGTAACATTAATCCTGTCTATCATCCCTATTTTTTTTCAATTTATTTCCATAGCTTTAGTGTTTTTGCATTAAATTATTTCTCTTCCTTCTTATGCAAATAAGGGTGACCCTCTGTATTAGTGCAAGAAATCAGAGCTCTATAGATCATGTTCCTGTGTAATCTTACGTAAAGCTCTCTAGAACACTCCCCTGCTTTTTTTTTTTCTTTTTTCGTTTCGTGAAGTACAGCTTGTATTTGGCCGGGATGTTGTCTCTTAATATGTAAGAAACAGGTCTTCAGAGTGTGGAGTGTAGAAAGACAAATTATTCCTTCTTTGCCTTGTCTTTGCAAGCGACACACTTTATGCCATTACAAAAACCTTTGCTTGGTATTAAGGTAATACTTGTGTTACCAAGCCAAAGGGAAAATATACAGTAATCTGTACAGCAGAAAAGGATGTAGCTAAAATCTCTATTATGTGTTACATTATCATTAGTGAAGCTACGTATGAAGGACTACAACACTGGGAAATGGCCCATTGTCCAGTAGGGGGAAAATAATGGCGGGGGGGGGACACACACGACCAACCCAACCGTCTGCCTAGAAAAACTGGTATTTCTTGAGTCCCTGTCACAAATTTATCAATTTGTTAAATTTCAGGCTAGTAGTAAAGGAAATATTTATGCCTTCCTTCCCAGTGCTGATAGTTTCATTTTAGTGTGTTCAATGAGTGTGCTAAGTGAGGGGAAAGCCATGATGCTGTTTTCTGCAAGTGATTTGAAAAGTTTTATTTCAGTCAGACTAATTTGGCACAGTGAATCAATGTTGTGATTGAGTATAATCAGTAGTCTTCATTTGGGAGAAAGCATCTCTTCTCATACTAAGGAAGATCTTGGAAAGAAAATTAGCTTTCATTATATGTTTCAACTATTTTCATTTTACACCTCTGTAACTTTTATAGTCCAACTAGCATGCCTTTTTGAAACCTGAGTTTATTAAAAAGGTGTGCAAAATTAGCCAAGTTCATGTTTAGGTCCTAAGACGTTCATGCAGTTAAGTTCTTAGAATAATGCCAAGTACTGTATCTTACTGTTGATTTTATAATTATTTACAGTTTTATTTAAGATAGTACAAGGTAGCACGTATTTTCTCTATTTAGCACATTACGGTTATGAAAATCTTCAAGCTCAATTTCAGGATAAAGCTTTGCTTTAGCAAGCTGCAAAAAATGCACGATATATTTAAAGCTAGGTTTACTTATATGCTGGAAAGTATCGGAAGAAATAAACTTCTACTGATGCAAATACGATAAGCTATGGAATACTATAGTGCGCTCTCGTGCCATTTTCTTCTATTCCATTAGTATTATTCCAAAGAAAGTTTGTTTTTCAGTTTGGAGGAGGTGCATCATTGCTGCTGAACGTACTTCCAGGCTTTGATTTTTCTTTTTGTGCTAAGTGCTCTTTCTTTTTAAAATATTGTGTAGGGCTCACTATCCTGGAACAAAAACAGTGCCAAATGCCTTATTAACTAAGAAGAAACTGTGGTCTTCAGAAGATTACAGTACTTTCAATGATGAAGTAGGTGCAGGCTGCTGGGCTCGGATCCTGAACCAAAACTACGTGAATGGAAACATGACCTCGTAAGTGTTGTGCACTGTTGCTCGCTTTCACAACTTCATATGTAAGGATTGTTTAAAGTACTATATAACACATCCATCTGCTATGGTAAGATAGTAGGTAAACTGAAACTCTACTGTCAGTCTGAATTCAAATATAGTAAGGTATGAAGTCTACTGTCCTTACCTCATTCTGGGGTAGAAGTCCCACAAGTTTTAATGTATTCTTGAGTTACTGTTCCACAGTATCCAATGGCAGCTGAGTTCAGATATGATGATATTTGTTAAAAAGAGAATGTTCTTAAGAACTAACAACATGAAAAACATTGGAGGAAAATAACATTAAAGCTAATTTATTTGTATTTTTCTTAAAGTCTTTATTAGGTTGTTTGTCTTTAGTTAACCGTAGTAGGTACGGAGGTAATTATCTAGTTTTTCCATACAGCTTCTTTCTCAGAGTCCATTCTAAAACATGCTGTAGTCTTTTGATATGTTTACTGTTTCCTGCACACTTTCTTTCCAAAATGAAATCTGGAAGAAAGCTGTTCTATTTACTGGGAAATTACATAACTCGCAGTTTTAGAAGAGAATAGAAAACATACTTTGTTTCCAGTGCAACAACTACTAATCTGAAAGGGGTTGGGGGGAAGTCTGTTTAAAGAAAATGTAGGCATCAAGGTGTAAGCAAAATTGTTCAAAACTTTTAGTTTTTATGTAACATCATTTTGGAACAATAAAGAGAAATGTTTTTGTCTGAAATGCTTGAAACGGAGCACAGCACAAAGCACTTAAGTACTTGTAAAGGAAAGTTTCTTGAGTCACCTGGTTTCTATGAATCTTCTGTCTCCTTCTCTGCAAGATGAAATTTTCTAATAGATGAATATTTCTTATGGGAATTCCTGACCATTCTGGTTGCCTCTTGACTCTCATATGCTTTAATATCTTACTTTGGGGTCTTTCTTTTCCCATTGTTTTTCTTTTTTACAAGCCTTTTGTAATTATATATGCCTCATTTGTTTAGCAACCTGACAGCCAGACCTATGTATTGTATTTAGAAATTATTGTAGAATAGTTCCGGGTCCATATATCCAATATTGAAATTATCTTGGCTTTTATATTGAAAACAGAGTCTTGATGAAAGGCAGCTTATCTTTCTGCTAAGCTTGTTTCCTTTGAACTTGAGTTCCCTACATTCCTTTTCTAAGTTTGAAATTCTGCAGAACTCAGAGAGCAAGTTGAGTTTACAACTCAAGAGTTGTTTATTTTATGAGCACCTTTTTGTAGGATTTCAGGATCTCTTCTGAAATGCATATATAGTGTGATAAATCTATGGCAATGACCTCAGAACGAGGCCCTTGCACTCATCTATATGTGATAGCAGAACAGCATGCCAGCTTTTGCTTTCTACATAACTGCTTTATTAAGCTGTATTTCCATACTTATGGCACACAGGTCTTAAGTTTAAATTCCTAGCAAAAGATTTTCAGTGAAGACGAAATCAAAAGACCTGAAGTAACTAACCTTGTCAGTATCCTGACAACTTCTTGAAATAGCAACAACTCCTGGAGGATGGCTGGTTAGAGTTGTTTTCTGTTTGTTATTTATATGGATAAAGGGAGGATTATTTTTTTCGGTAGTACTTAACTGCTCCCCCAAACCACTTCCCCACAAAAAAACCCTACAACCAGCAACAACCAACCAACGAAAAATAAAAACAAAACAACACCCCAACAAAAAGTTGTAAACCTTGATAACTTTTTTCCCCTTCAAAATGAGTGGGGAAACAAACGGAGTCTTTAACTCTCACTGCACATTTCCTTTCATGTGCAACTTTTTATGGTGATATAGCCAGAGAATGGTACAGAGAATGTATCATCAGTTTCGTAAGAAGTTCTCAACACTGGAAGTTGATTTGTTTTATTTTCCTTTCCTGTGTTTATTTTCTCCTTTAGCTGGAAAGATTTTTTTTTTTTTGCCTTAAACTTCTTTTCATTGTATGCTGGAGGAAAAAAGAGGAATAAGTTCTTGTACTAAATTCATCTAATACTATCCATATGAATGGAGCAAACAAACCTGTTTTTCTTCCAGAACCATTGCATGGAACTTGGTGGCTAGTTATTATGAAGAGTTGCCCTTTGGTCGATGTGGGTTAATGACAGCGCAAGAGCCGTGGAGTGGCCACTACAAAGTAGAAGCTCCTATCTGGATTACAGGTAAAAAGTTTGCAGTTAAAAGTTTGGTGATCTAACACAGAACATAACTGTATTTTCCAAGGCCTTTATTTATTTAGTGTTTTTTATGTGTATTAATTTTTGTACCAAATTAAAGTAATTTTGTGGCAAGTTTTGTGAATACTTAAAAAAGAAGAAGAAGAAAAAAAAAAGCTTTCAGTGGAAAGCAGAAAGATCTAATAGCGAGGGAAATCTTAATACTTGACCATTAGATACAGCAGAAATGAATAAACTACTGCCTTTTATAGCTGTTACTATTAAAATATTTTGATCTGAAGTGCCCATAAAGGTTAGTGTGCTTTCCTAGTTCCTTTCTCTCTTTTTTTTTTTTTTTTTTTAATCCTTAAGTAGACATTTGATACCTCTCAATTGGAGAAAATGGAACAAAGAACCTCTGTATTCTTGTCCTGCTTGAGATTCTTGGCTTGTGTAAGTCAGCATTTCCTTGTGCTTGGGGAAAGGGGAGTATGTTCACATAGTGTCTATGGACACATGGATTCACTGGCTATTCTGTAGTCCTTTTGTAATATTTTACTGTCTCTGCCACAGTTCAGTAGAGCAAGTAACGTGTGCAATGCCATAAACGAGGAACAAGGCAAATGCCTTCATTTTTATTCTTCTGCTAGTTACCTGTATACGTAAAAGCATTAAAAAAAAAATGGCCATACTGTCATACAAACAGTTCAGAGCAACTGAGCAGTTGCTCCTGTTTCCATGTTGCTCAGGATTTTCATGATCTGGGTCATATTCTTCTCTGGTACTCTCTTTTATATGCTGAAAACCTTACTTACTTAGTTATTCCTCATAGAGATGCCCATCTATGCTTTCTCTGGCTTAGCTGTTTACTTTATTTAAAAAAAAAAAAAAAAAAGAGAGATTTGGGAAAATCTAAACTGTGGTGGATATTCATATTGCATATACATGATTGACTTATATAGTGGTATAATAGTTTTTTCTTCTTGTCTAAATAACTGCTATCATTTTAACTGTTTCGTCTGCCACAGAGCTGCTGATTTTAATTGTGCCTTCGTGTAATTCTTTAATCTTTCTTCTTGTATAGGTAGAATTTGTTTTGGAAGTTCCATTACTTTCTTCCCAAAACCAAGTTTTTATTGTGTAAGCATATATGAGAGAGAAATTTAATTCAGACTACAAATGGTGGTATTTTTTATTCAGACTTAATTATTGTCGTCTTATTTTTGTTCTGTTTTGTCTCAGCACACACAACGCAATTTACTCAGCCAGGCTGGTCGTACTTGCAAGTGGATGGACACTTAGAAGGAGGTGGCAGTTTTGTAGCTCTGACAGATGGCCGAGGAAACCTTACCATCATCATTGAAACTATGGTATGTGCATCAGCACAGTTCCAATGAACTAGAAAAGATAAAAGAAATGTTTTGTTATGAAGAATCTGTTTTGATTTATGTAGTTCAGTATCTGTGAATATGTTCTTTGATGCTTGTAGCTTTGTTAGTGAGACCACTAGAGGTCCTTTTTTCTACCTAAACTTTGACTAGCTAGTTGAATCTTCCTGGAGACTGATATATATGTCATCTTTATATCACAAATTAGCTTTACTTTGATGACACACTCTGGGAGGAAATTAATTCTTGTGCTTTTTTTAAGCAGTATTCAAAATAAAATTATTATGCTAGTATAATTGCAGTTATCATTAAGATAGCAGTGAAATAAATAGTTGCAAAGTGATCTTATGTTGCTTTTTTAATTTCAGTTTATGCTGTATATTTTTCATGAACATTGCCACATGATGCGTTTCAGTAATGTATGTTCCTTCTGTTACATCTATGTTTTTCTTCAGACTCATAATCACTCTCAATGTATCAGGCCTCTGCTGCCTCATTTCAGTGTGACACCTCAGAGAGCAACTTTCTACCTCAAAGGGTCATTTGTAAGTAGATCTTGAATACATTTGATCAGTCTTGTAAAATGAATTGCTTTCCATAATCAAATACGTGCAAGACAATATCACAGATTAGCAAGAAATTGGAGTTCTTTACCTCCAATACTAGAGGCTGCTACACACCTGGCATTTTAGTTTTAAGCATTTTAGTTCTGCTTTTACCATCAGATGTAATGTCACAACTGAATTTGTAGAATTACTACCTCCCAGTCTAATCATCTGTATATTGAAGAAGAAATTCCGCAGAACAGAAATGCAATTGGGTTTTTCTTTAGGATTTATTCCAAGGCTGGGTGCTCTGAAATGCTGACATAGTTTGACTGGCCAGCATGGCCATTACCTTCCTAGTTATCATTAACTCCTTTCCAGGGGAGTAACTGCAGTTGATTTTATACTGTAGGTTATGCTGTTCCATCCTGTGAAGAGATATTCTGAGAATGTCCCAGTTGTGGTTTTTTTTTTTTTTTTTTTTTTTTTTTTAATCTCGCTAAACTGAATTTTCCTCTGAAATGTGAACAATACTTTCACAGTGTAAACTGGAGTGAATCTTTGTTAGTTGATTTGGATGATTGCTCCTCAGAAGCTGAAAGTGTTTACTTATTTGGAATTTGATTTTTGGTGGCATTGCTTTACTTTCACTTAGGAGAAGATAGTTTGGACAATACTTTTGGCAATAAAAGGGTTTGCTTAGGAAAAGTAGTTGAGCCTCACTTCTGATATAAAGCTCCCTTTGGGGGAAGTATCAGGTATCAGGTATCCAAACCAAACTCTAGATTGCTTGCTTTGTTGTTCTTCTGGGTAACTAAAAAAAATTGAGGGGTTCAATATGATTAAAATCTGTAACTAATGTAGTTGATAGTATCACAGAATTTTGGAGATCTGTAAGCGAAGTACTTTGCTCAAAAATGAATATCGAAGAACCAGCAGCTAAACTAAAGGTCTCATTAAAGCAAAATTAATGGGAGATTATTTCAGCCGCGTTGCTTCTAGGCAGAGAGCTTGTATCAAAGGGATACTGTTGTTGGTAATAGAGACGCTAAAGATTGTATGTGTGGTTGCAGTGCTTTCTGTCTTTATAAGCCACATTACTGCATGTTAGGACAATGGCTTATTGATGTATAATCTATAAAAAGATAAGCCATATGTAATGGCTAGCTGAATAGAGTGGTGGCCTCTAATGTGATCAATAGCTCCAAAATAACAAAAATTAGACACCCTTAGAGGACTGATATTTCTCAATATTCACCTTGAGAAAGTTTGTGTTCGGTGGAGTGTTGTTTTTTTTTTTTTTTTAATTTTATATTGTGTTTCATTGTAGTATATGGTGGAAACACTTCAAGTGTGGCATTCTAGACTTGGTTTTGAATCTGGAAACTCTAGTCTTTTCCAGCAACTCCATCCTGTAAAGGTGAGTAGATCAGTTTTAATTACAGTCTCTCTGCAGTTTCAGGTGTTTCTTCCCCCTTTGCTGGAACTCCTTTTAGGAGTTTCATGCCTAAACTACATAGTTAGGGCATGTTTTATTAGCTCTCTTTGACTACAGTTTTACTAGCTATATACAAGCTTACCTGGAGGTAATAAAGAGTTTGGGGGAAAGGGGTTTTCAAGATAGGTCAGAAACATTAAATGCTGAGGCAAGAAGACAGGATTTTTTGCCTTAAATCAGGACTTTAGAAGATCTCCTTTAATTCAGGAACTTGGGTATTTTGTTATGCAGTTGTTTGATTTTTGCAGCTTGAGCTTTCTTTAATTCCAGGTGTGGAAGGGAAGTTTTTCTTTAGATCTAAATGTGGATGAAGTCTACACTTTAACCACACTCAAGACAGGGCAGAAATGTGGTTGCCCGGAGCCTCCACCACCTCAGCCCTTTCCTTCAAATTACAAAGATGATTTCAATATTCGTAAGTCAGAATTCTCTTATCCAAAAACTTAATTCACACACAGTCTTAATGTAGAAAGGCAATAACAATTATGTTATTTGAGTCCTCTAATGTAAGCAACATGAAATAGTCTGAATGTGTGTTTTTATTTTTGTTTATTTATATCTGCTTCTCCACAACTTACACCTGTGTACTTCATTTGCATGAAGTATTGAGACTTTTTAAATTCTGTCTTAACTGGGTGATCACTAACAGTTTTAAAATAGTTGATGCAAATGATACAGCTCATAACTATAGTGAACTAGTTTTTGGAAGGAAGACAGAGAAGAAGGTAATTTACTTTGTTCATGTGTTTGCAAAAACTGGGGTCTGCTTAAAAACAAAACCAAAGCTAAAATCACCTTCCAACTTCCAAAACTTCAGTTTTGGAGACTGTGCTTTCATAGAGTAGTCAAAATTCTGGAGAATATTTTAAGAGGAAATTCCTGAGAACAAGAGTACGCAGAAGAAAAACAATGTTTTGGTATTGATACGTATTTTATTTTCTGAACAGGTAATCCACCTTTCAGTGAAGCTCCAAATTTTGCAGATCAGACAGGTGTATTTGAATACTTCATAAATGCTTCTGACCCAGGAGATCATGTGTTCACACTCCGCCAGGTTGTCGTTCAGCGACCCATCACTTGGGCTTCTGATGCAGACCAGACCATCAGTCTCATAGGAAATTTTCAGTGGTATGTAGATACTGTTTTCTAGAGACGTCTGGGGAAATGTCCTCCTTACCAGTGTGAGTTATGATCAGTTAATCTGTGTCAAGCCTCATTTGTCTTGGACAGAGGGCTTTTGCATTCAGACTTTCTATAGACATGTAGAAATGATGACTTAATGTGACTTCCAAAAGTCATTGAGTCCTGCTCAGGGCTATTGCCAACTCTAAGAGATAAACTGTGTCTTTGTCTAAATGAGTGTTAAAAACATCCAAGGATGGAGAGTCCACCTAGTAGCTTGGCCCACTGCTGCACTGTCTTGGAAATTTTTTTTCCTAATGTCCTGCTGGGCATATTTGTTCAAGCTGATTCTTCAGAATAATAGATCTGGGTTGGCGTACTAGAAAGACCAAGTCAAAATCCTAATTCAAAGTGTGCACTGAGTTTCAATAAGTTTTTAAATAGGACAGAAAAATTGATTCAGTTTAAATTACTTAATTTTGAGTTGCCTTGCTTGATTGTTAGCGATTTGATCAATCTCATATCAACGAAATAGTCTGGGAGTTAATTCAGTTATATTTGTTGCAGACTGCCATCTTCTGAGCAGTTCCTAGAATTGTGTGGATTTGATTCAACTGCTACTTAAAACAGTTTTATTTCTGGGTAAATGTAACTGAGATTTACTGGTTTGATAAGAGTATGGTTATGATTGCAATTCTTTCTAGGAGCTATAATGATCGTAATTTGGAATCAAGCAGCATATTTTAGCATAATGGTTATTTAAAATTAAAAAGCATTTGGGAAAGAACCTGTAAACTAATTGGTTTAGTAATAGTAAGTAATAATAAACTTTATGCTTAAAACTTTTTCTTCTATTTGGAAGTCTAGCTTAAATTCTTTTGATATGTTCTTTAAAATAGCTATTCTGTCAGGTGTTTTTCACTTTGATTGGATCATTGATCCCCCAAATGCTTTTTCAGAACATGCTTCACGCTTCTAATTTCTGGCCTGGATAAGTGATTGAATCACTTTGCTCTGAAGCCTGGAAGAATACCACCATCTGGTAGCTGGAGGTTGTTCTTCAGTTACCTGATATTTTCTTCTGCAGCCTTCTGTTAAGCAAAGTCTCATGTTCCCCCTATAATCAACTTTCCCTCATTGAGTAGATCATACTCAGTGATCCCTATAACAGCTACACAGGATGTATTCTTAAATTACTGTACTGAGATTCCTAAAAACTCTATTTAATAATTTCATTTTGGTTCCATTTCTTTCTGGATTTTCATCTTGTTTTCAGAACCAAGCTTGCTTCCTGAATATTCAGCTGATTATTCAAATTTTACTGATCTGTAACTTTTCATAAGGATAGTCTTCAATTTCAGGTCTTCTGATTTGTTTGCTTCATCTTCAGTTTAAAGTTCATCTTGTCCTAGGTAGATGTTTTCAACCTTTAGTGCATGCTATTGAAATACTGAACCAATCTTGCACTGAATTTCTCTGTGGAATGATACTTGACTTCAGTCGTCAATGGACATTTATTGTGATTAAATTTCAGGATTATTTAGTTGGTTTTAGTTTGGATTTTAATCTTGTGCTGGTGAAAGCTTTTTTGTTTCTACTCCTGAATTTGTTAGTGTTTTGCTCTGGCTTTATTGAACCTAGCTGTATCCTGAAAATACTACTATTTAACTTATTCTACATTGCTTCCAATCTCTTTATAATGGCTTAAACAAGATGTGGGGATCTCTTGTTTAATACCTAGGGAGGCAAGAAAGAAATCTTGTTTGTGTAATGAATGTGTATCCAAGAATCTGATACTTCTAATACCATTACATTAGAATGAAATCTCAAGTCGTTCTTACTATTATGTAAGACGTGGGGAGAAGAGTTGCTAAAATAAATATTCTTTATGATATAGTTACCAGCTGAACTGATGTCATAGAGAGTCTTTTCACATTCTGTAAATACTTACAGATAATTAGAAACTTCCTAAATATGCGACCTTGTGGCTGTATCCATATTGCAAGTCCTTTCAGACATGGGATGTAGATTTTTAATTTGAATGTACATTAAAAAAGGTAGAGAATGCTTTTAAGTTTTACTGTTAAGAGGCTTGTAGTGCACCTTCAGGGCAGGGGAAGTTGTGTAAACTTTCTAGGTGCCATTTGATTGTCTGGTATTCCTTTGCTTTATTCTCCTTTACAGCTGTCATTATATGTATAACACGGTCCTTTACTGTTGAGCTGAAGTATCACCTCAGGAAATTAAAATAATTTCAACCTATTCGAACATTTTGTTTAAAAAAGGTTGTTTTGGCTTTTGGGCAAGATGTCTGGATTACTTAAGACTTGGCCTGTATTAAAAATCCTAGAGAAATGAAGATCAAATTTTAGCAGATGTGGTGCTATGATCTTGAATCTTGGATTTGATTTAGTTATCTAAAAGCAACTTTTCATTTTGTAGACCTGACAGTTTTTCTGTGGAGATGCAAACCTTCTGTTTAGTGGGGTGTGGGTTTTTTTTAAATAATTAATTGAAAGTTGCTGACAATACTCTTCGTTTTGTTGTTGGTTTCTGAGAATTGCTCTTCCTAAGAAAATCTATGGACTCACAGGTGGGAAACAACCAATCTAGGCAAGTCCTGTTCATCTTGCACCTGTAGATCACAATTAGGATTGCTAAATCTTTCCTCAAAAAGGTTGCTGTACTACAGAGGGAATACTCTCCTACCTACTGCCTGCTCAAAAAACCCGATTCCTTGCTTGTTGAAACACTAAACTTCTCTTATAGGGTAAACATGACAGTCACTTGTGACATCTACATAGAAAAACAACGTGATGGGGGCGTGTTTGTTGCAGGAAGAGTTGACAATGGTGGGATATATGTTCGACGTACCAAAGGAGTTTTCTTCTGGGTTTTTGCAGATGGCACTTACAGAGTCACTGGTGACCTTGGTAAGCAGCTCTTTGCTAAAGTGGGTGCTGACATATGGACATGTCATTTTGATAACCTTGATAAAAAATACTAACATTCGGATTTTGTAATTCAGTTGTCATCACTATGAATTTAACACATTGTTCTCTAATGATGGCCACATCTTGTATGTCAAGAGAGTATCTGAAGGCTACTAGCTGGTCTACTTCTCAGTCTCAGCTTTCTGGATTTTTTTTTTCCTCTACTGACAAAACCTATTTTACACTAGTAAATGTAGATTATTTTGCTTTTTGTAAATACCCTGATACAATACTAATTACAGAAAGGTTTGATCTGTATTCTTATACTACACCTAAACAGAAAATTCTGCTTGAAATGCAATGGCATTTCAAGAACGCTACTGTCTTGTAGAACAGTGCAAGTCAACGTACATAGATCTGGCTTAGGTGATGACGATGAGTGGCCTACTGTTTTCCACAAATTATGCATTCTACTGTTAGTCTAGCTCAGTGGAGTGAGAGCATATTCTACTTGTGATGCTAACATTCATATTTGTTCTTCTATAGAGCACTTGACAGGCACATGGAAGAGTGTATGTCATAATACTTCATCAATAGCTAAAAGCTCTTTTTAACTTGCTTTGAAATAGTGGCAGGTTTTGTTGTTTAAATGCATTTCCTATCACTTCATGAGTATAAATCAAAATTTTCAATAGTTTCTTATAAGTCAAATGCAACTTCTAGATCTACAGAATATCTGATATCAAGACAGCCTATAACGACTCGTTTCACACTGACTGGACCTTTAAAAATAGTCTCATATTCTATTTGGTAGCTATAGTTTCTCATTTCTTATCATTTTGGTTTTTTGTGGGTGGTTTTTTTTTCTTTCCTTTTTTACCATGAATGGGTATCATAAAGAAGGCTTTACATTAGCTTCTCTTAACATACCGATGCTCCCTAGGGAAACTTTGCAATGTCTAGCTCCATGGGCCAGGGGAGGTTTAGGCTGGACATTAGGAAAAATTTCTTCGCCAAAAGGATTGTCAAGCATGCCCAGGGAATGTGGTTGAGTCACCATCCCTGGAGGTATTTAAAAGACGTGTAGATGTGGTGCTTAGGGACATGGTTTAGTGGTGGACTTGGCAGTGCTAGGTTAATGGTTGGACTTGATTATCTTAAAGGTCTTTTCCAACCTAAACGATTCTATGATACTATGATACTGTAACAACTTATGTTTCAGCTGTATGTAAAAACATACTCATGTTTAGGATTGACTCCAGTAGTTATTTTTAATAAGACATAACAACATTACCCAATTAGTTTCTCAGGCTTTCAAAAATAATTTTTCCTAGATGAAATGAGAGGATTTTGATTAACCACCTCATTATTTCAGGCTGAGACACTTGTTACACAATATGATAATTTTTTTCTGTACAGCTATTTTCAGTGATCTTTGTATTTTTCTAGAAGGGAGCCTGAATGTTCAAATAACTTGCAGCTAAAACTGTCTACTGAATAACTGAAGATTCTACATGTAGCACTTAATTTTTTCAGTCTTCCATCCAGGTGACAGTCACTCCCAATTTTTGCTTAGCTTAAATTTTGACTAGAACTAAGCCACATGATGATGTGGCAACTCAAACCTTCTGATTTATAGAAGTTCCAATACATAAACAAGGAGACCTATAGAACAAACAGAGCAATAGGTACTGTCATGCTTCATGAACCCATACTCTCAGTAGAGGGAATCCTTATCTCAGGCCAAATTCCCAAGAGCATTGGAGATTTCAGTGGAAAAACAGTCCTGGCAAAACAGGAGAATGCACTGATAATGTAGAGTCCAGGTTTGCATGTTAAGCCTTCCATGCTGCAGTTGAAATTGGTAAGATGTCAGTCCTGAATGCTTCTGAAAAATAAGTATTATTTTCCTTTTGCTGGCTTCGTATTTATCAGTCTCAGCAAAGGGGTGAAGTAACACTTTGCTAACCTTAAGCATGTTTTGCAGCCGGAGAAGAAATATTAATGAAAGGACTTTCTGGTGTCCGGGATAATGCGTGGCACACGCTTACTCTCAACGTTCAGGTAAGGACACAGGCAAAAAGCTAGAAAACCAGTTATGAAACTTCCAGTCCTAAATGGTTTACACAAAACTATGCTATACTATTGACTGTCTGCTTGCATTAGTTTGCCCTATCTAAAACATAAATAATATCTCTGTTATTTTAAACCAATATTAAAATACCATACCAGGTTCTGCTGCCTGTATTTTTAAAGAGATCTTGAGAAACTGGAGAGGGTATAGAAAATAACTGGAAAGATGAGTTGAAAGCTGGAGATAGGAAGGCTAGAAAGGCAAATCTTTTGTTTAATCTAACGAAAAGATCATGACCTGACTTCCTGTTCTGAAGACTGTTAGTAAGCTACTAAACTAGCCTGTTCTACAAATCTGTCTCCCACCAATTCCCTTTGCATGCTAAGGCCTTGTATGTGGAGCTAGTTAAGGACTGGGGAACTCAGATGAGCTGCCATCCTTCTTTCCTATACTGAAAAAGCATGGGCATAGTGTTGCTGTAAAAATGGGCCACAGTTAATGAGAAGCCTGTCCACATTTTTTCCTTCTCCCCCACTCCACCCCTTTTGGTCATAGTCATTTGGTGAGGAAAGTAGTCCCAAGCTCTACTTTAAATATACCTGTGCACTTACCTGGGTGTGACATTGGTGCAAGTAACTAAAAGGCTTTAAGTTCCACTGCTGAATGCCTAATCCCTTTGCCTAATGTAACCTTTGCAACTGCAATGTGGCCTGAAATGTGGGGAAGCTTGTATCGTAGCTGGGGAGATCTTCAACTGACGCAAATTCTCTTTTAAAATTATGCACTGAGTCTTTCCCTCATCCTAAAATGTCAGCGAGTATTAGAAGCTATTTTTTGTCTCTTGGATTTTCACACTGGGAGACAAAGGGACGCTTGTACCTGAAGCATTCACTTGAATGGATGTGGTTTAGTTTTGGCTTTTGTACACCCATACTTATGACGGTGATTGCCATCTGTAAAATAGGCCAAGACATTTGCTAACCTGATTGGGGTGCTGAAGATGAACATAAATCGTTTAAAACACAAACCAGTGGTGGTAATTTTAAAATGATGATGCTACAAACTTCCATCTGTGCTGTTAAAGTGTTTTGTATGAAATATGCCTTTGATGTAATGACAGAAGTGCAGAGTCCTTTTTAAAGAATTCTCTTGCTGACTTCTTGAAAGGCATTCTTGCTTTTACCTGTGTCTGTAATTGTCTTTCAGGTTAAGAAATACAACTAAACTGAAGTACTTTTTTTCTAAACACTGTTTAGTGTAACACTGGCGAGATAAATTGTAACTTTTCCTGAAACTGTTTTTAATTTTAATTTGAACATGATACTTGAAAGTTCTGCTATCTCCTCTTCCTCTCAGCTTAATGACTAAAATACACCTCTCTCTCCTTTTGACTTTTGCCTAATTCTGCAGAATCAGTGCCAGGTGTATCATATCCCCTTAAGACAGTTGGGCTGTTTGAGGGAGCCTGACATGTGGAAGAGGAAAACCAGTCTACCTTTCAAATTCTACACTGAGTTTGCAAAGCTGTGAGTTAGGGGAAGATGAGCCTTTTATATATTCACTGTAAAGGCATTAGATCTGTTTCAGAGAGCTGATAGGCACTAGAGGATTCTATGCAATATTTAAAAGCACCTCTCCATAGAAAATGTGTGAAATGTAGTTGAAAGTTGACTTGACATCTTTCTGCCTTGTCTCTTCTCACATGTGGGTAGGCTCAGTGTCAACACAATCACTGGATTTTACAAAGTTAACTTTTTCCTTTTTTTGACAGGGCACTTCTGCCTCAGGACTGTTAAATGGTTATCCACTCTGGGAGAATGTCACCATTTCTAAACCAAGTAATGGCTGGGCTGCTATTGGAACTCGCTCGTTTGAGTTTGCACAGTTTGACAACTTTCACGTTGAAGCTAGCTGAAGTGGCTTTTGCATTTGGAGAACCCAGTTCTCATATTACTTTCAATAAGAGCCAGTTCAGACTTTGAGGACAACGTAATGCTATGCTGAGATTGATCTGTTGGCAAGGAATCTGAATTCTGTCCTTATTATTGTTAAAGGTTTACTTGAGTAGGTATCAACATGACTGTAACTTTATCCCCGAGTTGCTACGGGGTTTTTGCCTTTCGATTTTTGGGGGTAAATTTTAGTTCAAGGTAATGAAGAAAACAAAATCATGGATTTATATCTCTTTTAATAACAACATCTTAACTTCCCAGCTCACTTTTAAGATAACTTTAGAAGATAACAGAAGACAGAGGCATCTCAAGCTGCATTTTTAACACTTACATGATTGTGTCCATTCCTTTCACTCTGAAGGAAAGAATTAAATGCTAGTAAACCTTATGAGCCAGTGGCCCCATACTTTTGTAGGTCTGTCATTCTCAAATTTCATTTGGATGAAGTACCTAGTTTTTTCTACAGTAAAAAAAAAAAGATGTTTTGTCTGTTTTTCTGCTATGTCTGAGGCTAGACATTATAGTACTCCAAGTGCATTTGATTACTTCTTCCTGATTACTTCTTCCAACTTTCATTGCCAGCCTTAAAATAGATCTTATTTTCAGTGGAATGGAAATGTGCCTTATAGCTGATCAGGCAGTGCAGGATGTGCCTTACATCTAAACTACCTCCTCTTTCCAGTGAAAGGGTTGAAATGGATGAAAAGATACCGTAACTTGCGGTTCGTTAATGATAGTCTTGTGGTTTTTTGCATGGTATAAAGAATAATAACTTTGCATCATGGATACTGGCAAGCAGAGTGCTTGCTTTTGTGTCAGGTCACATGTTGAAAAACTGGCCTTTTGTTCCTAGAAATTTGGGCAACCATGTCTCACTTTTGATGGATCTAAAGCTTAGAGCAGAAAATAATTAAAGCATAACAATGTTATTTAGCGTATTATATTACTGTAGCACAGAGGAGGTATGGATATTATCACGTCCTGGTATAAAAGAAAATTAAAAAAAATAGTCTTTGCCCTTAAGAGCTTGCAATCTAGTCATAAGGTAAGTGACAGCAGGTGGATGCAGACAGAATTGTTTGGTGTGCCAGGCAGTCGTATTGACACAATAGTATCTGGTTTTAAACTTTTCCTGGGCATCATGGAGTAAAGTTCAGAGGGAATTTCAGATCCTTGGGAAAGGAGGGATTCTGTTTTGCTGTTGCTTCATTGTTTTTTTTTCCAAGTTACTGTGCTACAAAAAAAAATTCATTGAGAATATAATGAGGTACTGAATGGGATTTTCATCACACACATTACAAATTCAGTTGGTTTCTGAATTTTTCTTGTTTGCTGTTGGTCAATTTGAATGAAGATGATGTCTGTTGCCATAATGAAACACACCTCCCGTGTCCGTCTACTTTTCACATCTACATCCTCTTTAATTGACAAGCAAGTAGTTCCACAGACTTGATAGGGCACTAATAACTGTATGAGGCTATCTGTAGCAGGCAGTATCTTATCCTGAGAAACAGATTTGCAGTATACTTCAATTTATACAGATTATTATTCTGATCCACTTTATTTTGAAGGCTGATTCCAGTAAGTGTTATCTTCAGTCTTCGAAGTTGTCGTCTAATATAAAGTTAATGTAATACGAATCATTACTGGAAAATTTTTATGAAGGTTATCTTCCAAATTAGCTTTTGGAGAAGAGATCTCAAAATTGCATCTCTAATAAGTAAAAATGCTTTATCTTTTAGCTATTATACTGATACTGCCATTGATTGATATGAATCATTCATATGTGCAAGTTTCATACATGCTAGTAACCTTGAAAAATGGTCCAAACCACTATACTTTAAAACTCCTGTAGAAGGTTTCCAAATATTAAATAACTGTTTACTTAACTGGGTGAAAAATGAAAGCCATTTTTCCACTTCAGTTTCATTTGATAGTTGAAGTATGGCTGCAAATCTGTTCATTATTTTCATGATTTTAGGAGGGATGTCACTTGTAACTCCAGATGTGAAGGAATCTAATTTTAGGTCCTCATATTCAAGTAATATGAGTATAGGAGAAGTTGTTCTCAGAATACACCTAATTTAGCTGTGATGGATTTTCCTAGTAGGATACTTCTTGGAGACTTCCTGGTAGCTTGTGTGGCGACAAGCATTGTTTGTGTAAGAGAGAGATCAGCAATGATGCAGTTATTCCAAAGGAGCTGTCCAGTTTTTTTACCTTTTAATGCACTAGTGTAATAAACTGTACTGTTATATTGTGTACTAAACACAATGTATTTTATCACTGGAAGTGTTGATTTTTTTCTAATCTTAATTTATAATGTTAGAGGATTAAACTATTATGAACAGAGTAAGTGATTTAATGGTGATATAATGTTATTCATCTTTATATGTCTGTAATTCTTCACCCTTCAGCAGGCTCTAATATGTTTGGCAATAACAAGCTGTCAGGTCTTTCACTGAGGGGTGGATTTATGTTGTTGATTATAAATACTAATCATTTCAAATGGACAAATAAAACACTTAAAACCCCTTTATTTTTGCAGAATGCTTCTGTAAATGGGTCTTGGTTTTCTCCAGTAAGAAATCTGACAGTTTTTTCCATTGTGATTCCTGATAAATATGCTTGGCATTAACTTAATTGGGTTGTAAGAGTTTTTCTGACACTCTGAATAGCCAAGCAGTCCTCATTAACAAATATCTCAAAATCCATATGCGTTAGGACTTGTGCTGTTGATAAAACAATTTTTTATAGTGCTGAATATACATTTTGCTTTTTTCTGTTTTTTTTTTTTTTTTTTGCATTTGATTAAGGGAATAAAAATGTATTTGAGGGCCAGTCATGCAAAACTGCTGAGTACTAAGGTCTTGTGAGATTTAGTTGGAAGTCTGTTTCTACATATAGAAACAGACAGTGCTGTATGGATGTACTTTTAAAATTTAAATGAGGTTTCTTTACGTTTAATATCCTTTTGAATCAAGCTTCAAACGTGCTCCTCCCACTCCCAAACTTAAGGCTTCAACTTTAAAAGGGGAGGGGGTGAAATTCCATAGAGCTAGTCATGTTTTCCAGGCCATCATGCCAGTAGATATGAATTACCCTGGAAATATGTCTTCCAGTAGCCAGGTACGTGCTACCACCTACACAAACACTGCATCAAAATCAATTCTGTCCCTTCTCTGCTGCTCCACCTTTGAGGTTAGACACGATGAGCAGTTCTTGGGATTTTCAAATTCCTGCAAAACACCAGGACTCTTTTGCTTTAAAATTACAGGAGACTCTATTACTTTAGGCTACTGATGATGGTTCCTTTTGCAGCCACCTCCTGGTTTCACTGTATCAAAAGTAAATTTCTAGTTCAGGATTTGATTTGGAGTGGTAGTGGTTTACTCTTTCCTTATTGAATCAGTTTTATTGCATGGTAGCGGAAGGTTGGTGGTCTTCACTTAATTTTTCATTGGCTTACCTGAAGTTTTTATCCAGAGTCCATTTTCTGGAGGGGTATGCATATTATGAAAATAGCCACCATAATTACAGCTGTCTTTGATTTCAGCAGCATGGGCAAAGACGGACAGTGCTTGGAGACCTTATTATCCTCACTTTGATGTTTTGGCTTTTTTTTTTTTTTTTAGTTTTTGGGGTTTTGTAAGTACTGCATTTGTACACGTCTCGCACATGCTTGGGAGTGGGGTGGGGGGAAGGTTGTAAAAAACACCCTAATTTTAAAAGACTTGCTAGGCTTGTAGCAGAATCATCAGGTAGCTATTTTAAGGTTTTGAGCATACTATACTTTGATACTTGAGAAGATATATCATGTGCCAATTAATGTCAGGGCTTGCTGAAACAGAGAAATAAAAGGCAAATGATTATCCATTTTCTTAACAAAGATATCTTAGGTAAAGGTTAAATGCTTTTTGTGTGTGGCTGGAACCTTAGCAATCATCCTGCCCATGTTGATAATGCATGAAAAGTTAGCCTGAGCAAGTTCCTCTTGCCACTAGATATATTCCTTCCATTTATGTTCAAGTGTCACTGAAACAATAAAGGTGGTGTTTCTAGAACTTGTGTTTTAAAAAAAAAACCAAACCCAAAACACCTATTAGCAACTGAGCACAGGAGAACGTGTGTTGCAGCAGTGTTGCCAAGCTTTCACTGTGTGCCAAGATACTTCTGTGTTGTTTTCATAGTGGCTAAAACAAACAACTGTAAAATGGTCTTTTTTCTCCTCAAGGAATTATATTTGGATAAGGTTAGAAACAGATACAGAACCCAAGCATAAATTTTGTCGGGGGGGCTCCAAGTAACTTTGCAGCTAGTGCAGTAAACCTGTCCTTTACTTGCAGTAAACCTGTCCAGGCTAAACCTAGGCATATCTCTGGGAAGTGGAGACAAAAGTAACCTAACAGTATTTGTTAGTGTTGACTTTTTTTTTTTAAAAAATGCCTTTTCTGTTGCTATCAAGTGTACCTGACTGAGAGTTAAAACTTCACTTAGAGCAGGAAAACAGTAATTTTCATTTTACTGTGCTCGTGGATGCATTTCAAAACGCAGATCTGTAGTGGAGGATGGCTCAGTACAGTACTAACTCGAGGGTTTGCAAGAGAAGCCAGAACTTAGTACACGAGGCTAACATTGCGCAGCCATGATTTGGGAACCCTTGATGGTCTAAGACAGAGAAGATAACACCAAAATGACTCTTTAAAAACAAAGCAAAACAAAAAACCAAAATAACAACAACAAAAAAACCCAAAACGCACCACCAACAAAAAACCCAAAACAAACTCTGCACATGTGTACCCAAATAATACGGGGAAAAGCAAAGAACAGTCCTGGTTTAGCTTGACTTCCTTTGTTCAGTTCCTGCTGGGAAATGCAGTCATCTTCCTTGCTGTTTTCCATGAACAGCAATTTAATGAAAATGCCTATAGAGAATACAAGACTTCATTGTTGCTAAAAAGCA